GATTGAGAGTCGAGATTGGTGGTGAGTGAGTCACGAAACACAAATATTTTGAAAAATAAGACAAAGGAAATTTCAAGAAATATCGGCAGACATAACATCGAACGTTCGTCCTACTCGAGAGATGTTTTCGCAAATATATGATTAATTTCAGACGAGATTTGACAGACGATGCTTTCTTGTCTTTGTTTGTTCTTTCGGAGTAGAGATTGTGTCTGTGTTGGCTTAAAAATATATTTGTCTGACGGAGATAACAATTTTTTTGTTTATATTCTCACAATGCTAGTTGTTTATTCTTTCGTTTATTGTATTTTATTGTTAAATATGCACACTTATTAGCTAAATGTACATGCATTCAGATCATGCAACCATGGCATTTTAATAATGAAAAGTTTTCGCAGAATTCTAAATAATTACACTTGTTGCATATGCAAAATAACTGCTTCCTGGTTTTTATTATTTAACTAATTAATTAGGTTTTAACATTGTTTTTCTTAAAAAAATGAATTGTGTTTTTTCTCCTCAAATCTTCTTGTATTTTATGCAATAATTAACATACGGCGTGTTGAAATTGTCACTGAATCCTAATCTGCTGTTGACCCGTATAGAAATGTTTACTATTAGTCATAAAGTGACATATAACGTCAGTTGAGTAAAGTTCCGTTTCAACGACGCGGCAAATGCCAATGCCTATTTAGATATGGATCACTTACAGACACCCTGAGGAAAACATGCGTAATTACATACAGGACATTCAAAGGTCTAAAATTTTACTTTTATAATTGAAATTAGAGAAAAATTAAGTGAAAATAGTAGGCACACAATATTTTTTGACAAAAGTTTGATGTTTTCTGAGCTACAACAGCTCATAGAATACGAAAATGCAAGCTGTCCGTTTCCATCTCTCTGTTGTTTGTCAGTGATTTTGCGAGAGTCTTAAAAGATACTTGGTCAATTCTCTAGAGAACTATGATATGATACGTACAAGAATTCTTTAAAGTAAAAAGCCATTTTTTAATATTTTTAGTTTTTGGACATTTGAGAACTTAATTCTTTTTATTATACTTTTTTTTTATTAAAATACAATTGACGTCAATGCATGAAAAAAAAAATTCAATTTTATAATTCCACCAACACTCACAATCTGGGCCTACCGTGACCTAGACGTGTTGAAAATTTTAAAAAGTATGTATAATGACGTTAATTCAAATTTTCAAGTGTTTAAAAATATTACATATTACTATCACATTCAAACCACTTTTTAAAATTTTATGAGATGAACAAATTCTGTCAAATCTCTAAAACAGAAAACAAGTATTTCAAAAAATTTTCATAGAAAGAAAAAAAAAGCTCCAAAGTTATTTAAACAGAACTTCCCTAGCCTCGCAGGTAAAGCCGAACAAACGTAAAATTTAATTTTGCGAATATTTTGCATATTTTAGATGTCATTTATTCGACAAATGTTGAGATAGCGTCATCAATTTTTGGAGAAGATTTCAGAACCTTCGGTTTTGCAGCTTTAAAGTTAAATTGCAAAATGTTGATATAGAATTTTATTTTTTTCTAAAAATCTGGATGTTTACGGTAAAAACTCAACACGGATTCATAAACTACAAGTGCAGCGGTATGTAATTTTATAAAATAAATAAAATTTTGGAGATGACGTCATCCCATTATTGGTGGGGATATCCAGACAAATTTTGGTTAGCGTTTACGATCTACACATAATTCCTCACGTACGTTTAAAATTTGACAACAAGCTACCCAGTAGTTTCGGAGATTACCTGCCTGATAAAAATTGACACATGCAGACGGAAACGCGCGTGCTAATTTTTCGTACTCTAGGGGTCGCGAAACGTCGAGAAAACATAAAAGTCGGGGGGAACGTAATACAATAATTTAAAATTTCATTCTACCTTTAAAAAAAAATGGGGTAAGTTCATAAATTATAGGTAAAGGTATAAGTCAGACTGTATTAATAACATTTTATGCAGACGTCATCAAGGTTTTGGGTGGGGAGAATTACGTCAATTTTGACAAGTACGGTGTATTACGAATAACAACAGTACTGTGTATACAAAACCGTTTTTGATTTTATCACATTTTTAATATCCTGTATAAACAATTCTAAGATATATGAATACACTGTTAAATCACAAATAAGGAACTTCCGCTATAAATTTCAAGGAAATTACATTAAAAATTGAGCCAACATCATAAAGCCATTGGAAACTTGTACAATGTGGAAAAATTCGAATTCGCGACTTTTAAGTTAAATTGCACAATTTTGGTTCCAATTTTGACTTATGTAAGGTTAAAATTAGAGGGGGAATCACCGGTAAAGAATGATTTTATTCTAGACATTTTAAATAGCATTTATACAACGAAATTTTCAGGTGATGTCATTAAATATATTGAGGAGGATGATCAAACAAATTTTGTTTTGCGGTTTACCATCTACAGCAGTTCTTAAAATACATTTAAGATTTCACAACACTCAATCCAGAAAAAAATATATAACCAAGTCGCCAACAAATAAGACACACGGAAACGGAGGCCCTACTTTTACATACCTATTCTAGGAGCTATGAAAGGTCCAAAACATGAAATAAAACCATGAAAGCAAGATATAAAAATGAGTCGAAGATTGTTCCGACAAATGGTACATGCGAAATTTTATTTGTGATAACCTCTATACATTAAAAACAAATGTTAAAATAGTGGTAACGCTGTAAGAAACAAAAAATATGAAGCCGCTCACAGTAAGCAATGTACTACAGACTATCCTTGTGGAATATTAGTATAAAAGGTGCCTGCGAAATTTCGATTTTTTGCGAAAATTTGAATGCCTCAGGGATAACCGCAAGGCGGATTCATAAACCACAAATACAGGTGAATGTTATTAAATTGCGTTTACTTTGATAAGGATGATCAGACAAATTTTGTAAGCGTTTTACCAACTAAATACATGATATTCCTAACATTTTGAAATTAGAGACTGATTATTATCTGTCCAATAAAAATCGACACAGACGGCGGACAGATAGACAGACTATATACTTTAGAGGTCATGAATACCCAGAAAACATGAAAGTAAGAGTTTTCAAAAAGTTTTTAAAACAGCCCACAAATAAATCTCCGAAACTACCCAAACGATCACAATGAAAATTTAATTGTATTTTATGATTATCGTAAAGGCAATAAAACGGTAATCAAAATTTATGTCACAATCCCCACAAAGTGATGACACGATCCTAAAATATTAAGTAAATTTCACTTTAAACGTACAGTTTAACTTGCTCCTTAACCTGCGATTTAATAAACCACCCCTATTTTTAATTTTATGTTTCCGGGTTGTCTTAAAACAAAATTAAGTGTAGGCCATAAACTTTTAGAATTTGTCTCAAGGAATTATTTATGTGACAGAGTTCTTAGAAATGCATACCACTATTAATTTATTTCAAGAAGGTTCCTAGGAAAAAAAATATATGACTGCGTGCAATTATAGTTTTATTTTTAGACAAAAATCATAAAACTAGTAAATTTGGTACTCTGGTAAAGGTATTAGAACAAAAATTGTGTCGGAAGTTATCTATACAGAAATCTTTTTTTTTTCAGGTAAGACAGCCTATTTTCATTTTTTTGAAAACCAAAAATTTGGCAATAAATTTTTAACAGTGCTATCTATCTCCTGTACCAAATTTAATGAATTTAATGAATATTTGTATTTCAAAAATAAGTGCCTTATGGATTATACAATGGTACACACATGCATTATTGATAAAAAGTACCACCCATTTAATTTTTATAAAATTCTCAATAGAATCTTGTAGTAGATATTTTGTATACTCTAAACAGCCTCATACATGTCAACGTGTACTAAAATTTCGAAAATTCGAAAGTAAAAATATTCAAAATTTAATGACATGCCAGGCAAACTACGAATGATGCGAAAGGTTACCCTTTTTCCAATATTTCTCTCATAACCATATAATTCGAAATTGATAGCCAATATGAAAATATTCTGCAATATTTGTAAATAAAATTTTAAACGATGCTTTTAAAAGTGAATGGATTTCACATCTGTCCAAACGTGCTTTTTATTATTGTTTGGACAAACTGCATTAATACTGTAGTTAATTCACGTTACGCAATCACTTTATGAAAACATTTCATCCGTACTGAAGTCGATCGCATCTGGTATCAACACTTTTACGGTCGGCAAATTAAAATTATTAAGGTAGCACAATATCGGTGATAAAATCTTACATTAAGCAGCAGGAAGCTTTTAAATAATTTGAATACGCTCGATAAATATACGCTGCAATACAACGCAACGCAGTGAAATTAATAACACGGCAAGAACAACAATGGGTTTCTTTTCCTCTTGCTCGGAGATAAGGGATCCAGTTGTGATAAAATTCTAAGAAACGAGATCATCCTTATCTGCTTAGCTGTTGACATTATTAGGAACGCTGTGTACTTAGCGCAGTCGTAAACACGGCACTAGGTATACGGTACTCGGAACCCGAAAAATACAGAATATTATCAAATATTGACCGTGCTGCATTATGAAAAACAAATAGAACAAGATGCGACGTCTCGGGCCAGAAAAAGCCGTCTCGAGCTCCGTCCATTAGAGAGGCCTGTCTGTTGCGCGACCTGACTGACACTAATTAATTCCTGAAAAAGTACCCTTAATGTGATTGTATAATCCAATTTCCTCGTTTCTGGTAAAAATGGTCGCCTACCGCGCGAAATTCCAGCACTGTCGTTCGATTATTAATTGCACCTGATTTATTAGGGGCATTAAAACAAATTACCGGCATTACCCGATAATATCGAGAAAATAAATAATTATTACGTGTAAAGCTTCAAGCGAAATTAACGAGCCGACGTATCTGCGGGACAGATAGCGCGAAAGCGAAATTCGCGTGGATGTCATTTTTCAGCGGATCGATAACGTCGGAAAAATTATTGCCGGCAACGATTTTCCAACCCACCTGGGTTCCATGCACCTTCACTCAAATACTCTACGCGAATACCACTCGACGACGAGCGCTCGCACGGACTGACGACTCGCGTTCCTAGGAGTCGCGGTCGGCCATGGTGCATCTTGATTGGCCATCGTGGCTCCGTTGGGCAAGGGTCGACCGGAAGGCCGACGCGTGGTGCCTGAAAATTGGCAAAAATGCAGCTTCTAATGCTGTTGCTACGCTGAAACGGGCAAGAACCGCACTGGTAAAGCTGCTTTCAGAATCAGTGGCAAGAAGGTGATCTGCTACTTGTCGCTAGGAAATAAATTGCGATACTTCATAACTGTGTTTTATAAACTAACAGAAGATAAATCAAACCGAGTTTATATATCACATTTATATATTATTGGTGTTGTGTAAGGTGTTCGTTATATGTTTGTTGTTTATTACGATGCAGAAAAAGTACGGTGTGTAAGTTCTTGCACGGGGTACTCATTTCTTTCTCGCATTAATTGCAGCATTCGCATGCAGCTCACGTAGCAAACTTTTATCTTTGGGAGAATAATCTAATTTCGTATTTTATTAAGGTGATTATAAAATATCGTGCATCAAGTTGGCCTTGTCAGTGTATTACTAATAAAATGTTGCCGCTTACTTAAGATGAGTAGCAAACTATCATTCGAGCTGAATTATTGGCTATCAAACAGCAAATAATTTGAAAAGGCTTTAAAATTTGGGTGTTATCACTAATTAATTATCTGCAAGGTAGGCCGGCGGCTTTAGTGTAGCAAATAAAGATCTCAAATACTTCGTTCTAAATAACATCAAAGATTTTCAAAGTTAAAGATGGCATTGACATTTGGGGTTTTAGAGTTCAAGATGCAGTCCCGACGTCATCTTGGAATCCAAAAACACTTCACTTGAAATGGACGATCCACCAACACCGCAATTTCTTGGAAACTACAATTGAAAATGTTGCCAGTGTTGTCAATTTTAATGATTTATTCAAGTGTGAAATATTTTAAGGTTATGTTCCATTTCATTCTCATTGACAGCTCGATTTTTACTTCCCGAACGCAAACTAAGGAAGTATAGTAATCGAGTCCATTGGGCGATTTGCTAGTCTCATGTTTTCTCGACGTTTTATGATCCTTAGATTACAAAAAAAAAGTTTCACATTTCCGTCTGTCTTTCTTCTGTCTATCTGTGTCGACTTTTATAATTCATCAATTATTTTACGTAAATGAAGTGATGTGTACATAGAACTCATTCGTCTTTACTTATAAACCACATTCCATTAACATAGGTTCATAAATAAGAAGAAGTTACATTCCACGTGTCCCCCTTTTAACTGACTCACCCTGTATATTATGAATATAGATGGTAAAACTTTGTCTAATCGTGCCGTGACGTCAGCTCAAAATTGCAAATAGTAAATGAGTTTTAAATTCATAAAATAAGATAGTCCTACACGTGTAGTTTATGAATCTGTGTTGAGTTTTTAGGCGAGACATCCAGATTTTTGGAAAAACAAAACAAAATATGTAGTTTAACAGCATTTTGCAATTTAATTTTGAAACAGCATAACCGAATGCTCTAATGTTTATTTTTTATCTTAAGCATGGTAAATGTTTAATCAAAATACATCTGTTTATTCCCCCCAAAAAATTGAGGACGTAATCTCAAAATTTTGCCGAATAAATCCTATCGAAAATTTGCAAGATATGATGACTGTATTTCATATATTTTTATACAAGGTGACTCAAAAAAAATTAATTAGTCGATTTATTTTTTTGATTAAATCAGAAACGGTTCGCTCAACTTTACCGAAAATTTGGGAATACAATACTGGTATTATTAGTAATAAATTGCATCTACCCAAATTGATATACGTGCCCTTGCAATAATGTTGATGACGTCATCACAAAATTTTGAAAAGCAAAAACTCATTTGAAACATACGCGTAGCATACTTCTTTACCTTTATTTTAACATTACATACACATATTTGCTTTAACCTAGAGGGGTCCTCATAAAAAAATAAAATTCACAAAATCAAAATTTATAGTTTTTGGAAAAAGCTGAAAATGTTTTGTTGTGTTTCGAGAGCGAGAGAAGTTCTGTCAAAAAACCTTCGACCAATTTTTAAAATACAAGTTGACAATCCGTGACAAGAAACGCTCCAGCTTTGGAGTGTCAATAATTAATTAATCTACATATATAATCAGTATTTCTTTCTAATTGAATTCAACAGGTCGTGGTTTTTGTTTTTCGAATAAATTACTGTGGAAACCAAAACAAAAAAATATATTGTTATATTCGAAATCAGAAATACTTTCAATTGAGGTACTATTCGACCTCTTTACATTTTTTTTTTCAAATTCACGCTATCATCACATTAAATAATAATAATATTAATAAGAATAAAATATTAAAAACAAATTACTACAAATCCAAAAACTGAATGCAGTTAGCGCAGAATGGATATCTGTAGTTCCGGTTCTGAAAAAATGAACACTGACTAAATTAATTAATTGGAAGGTGGTTGTACATAATTCTAAATTAGTATTACAATCTTCAAATCAACAGTAATTTCCGTCGAGACATTCAAATTCAAAATGTACTGTTATCCATCACACATTTATTTTGCATGGTGATTAAGTCTTGAATATTTGTTTACAAACTGGCCTATCAATTTGACAGTTGATTTTGAAAGATTTGAAGTCAAAATTCGTCGCAAGCCGCTTCACCCGTGATCTATGTGAAATTTTCGTTGTTAGGATCATTCCTTTAATCAGCAGGGTGTCTATTTTTTAAAGAACATTTGGGACATAATATGCAGGTAGAAACACCCCGCCAATTCAAGGTACGATTCTAATAATAAAATTTGTACACATTAGCCTACTGGTCAAGAATTTAGATCCACCAATTTTGACTTAGCCCACCAAAACCCCAACCATTTAATTTCTCGACTCCATTGTTCCCTGCTACATTGTCAACATTGCTATTATTACAAGTACACACGCACGTCAAACCGACCACCAATTACGCCAAGGCCCTGTTTCACCAACAGTGGCGACCCCCATCACAAAGTGCCAGCCGAAATTCGACCCATACCCCAACAATCTGCACTTTTCCACCCATATGCACCCGTCATCTCACCCACCTCAACTCCACGCACGTTCACGAAATACTCTCGCGAATACCTCTCGAGCCGCACACTTCACCGACTAAACCCGGCGACTCTGCCTCTCGGAGTCGGCGACTGCCGATGCATCTTGATTGGTCATCCAGCCTTTGTATGGGACAATGGGTCATCCGGTGCCTGGCTGCGGAAGGCCGCGACGCGACTGAGGCCAACTTACGGCTCGTCTGGTCGAAGAGACGGTAGGGACACCGCGCTGCCGGGCTGGGTTGCGTGTTTGCGATGAAATGCACGGTACACACACATGCAAAGAATCGTAAAAAAGCGGCAATTTTCTCGGTGGCTGTAGCTGGGAAAGTCGACAATAATAATAAGAATGCTGATACTACTTGTGACCTCCAGAAATTTTGGTCTATATCCCACTGCTATCTCATGATAACAACATGAGTCCAATTAGCTTAGATTTACCTGATTGTATAGATCGTATTCGTTTTTTAAACACTCGCTCCGCTCGTGCCTAAAGGAACTCGATATAGTTTTTCCACATTGCCACATCGATATATAGATAGTACTCGCAATTTTCTAGCAAATACAGGTTTTACGTATTTTTTTTTACTTCAATACTTTGTAATTAAAAGCTCGTCGCTCGCTTTCGTCGCATCTGGGCGCATTCGAGCCTCCCAATGCGGTGTCTCTACCTCGTCTGGTCGCGCCCCTGCCAGCGGTCCTCAACAGGAGCGCTAAATCAATTCTGGAGTCGATGGGTGTCGCTCGCAGATGATCCAGAACTGGTTTTTGCCCAGACTGCGGATGACAGTGCTAAATGCCCTTACAGCAATTAAAACACTAAACCGCAGAGACGAGACCGCAGCGTCTTTTTGTTCGGCGCTTTTGCATATGGCAGGAAAGTTGAAATGTTAAACTGGTGTTGTTTGCGTTGTTGGGTTATTAATTTCGTTTTGGCCGTTTTTTAACCAGATTTTTGGGTTATGCCGACTGGGAAGCTTTCACTTTGACGAAATTTATGGCTGGAGCGATGCGACGAAGAGAAAATAAAAGTCGACTCGGACAAACACGGCTCTTTGCGGTTTATTGACTCGTGATAGCTAAAACAATGTTTCTAGATCTGTTTGAATATAATAAAGATTGTGGTCTGCTTTCCTTTCTTGGGTAAAAAGTGTCCTGTGTGCAGTTGTTTGTTTTGCATAATGTTTTTATTGTTACTGCGGACTTTCGAGTTTGAAGTGTTTAATATTCTGTATAGCGTAATTTAATTAAAGTATTTCCTTAATTAAAATCAAAATTAAACAAGTAGATTCCATTTCCAGTGAGCAACTTTAAAGTTACTTTACAAAAGCAATTAAATAAAACTACTGTTTCTTGTTTCTATTACATTAGAACAGCGTAGAGCGTGGCCTACGACTAACTTGACAATTACCATCCGATGAGACTGCGAGTACACTCCAAAGACAAACAAAACTGCAATGACGGCGCTACGAAAGGCCTGTAGGTATTCATGTGAAATATCTAAAGTCTCTGTTAACACTCACCAAATACCGTTATTACAGATTGTACAAGTATATCTTGTACATAATTATCCTTTCTCTTAAATTCTAAAAATTTTAACAACTTGTAATCACTACTGGCTTTGGTTCATTGTTAATGATTGTTGATTAATAGTTCTTACCACCAGAAAGGCCTACATTTCTGATTATGTAAACTCATTTCAGAAACTATAAACGTCACAAACGTAAATTAATGTTTTTCCTATTTTTTATAAACTCACGAAAGCACATTCCACCGCAAACAATTGTGAGCTACAACAATGCTATCAAACTTAACGCTGCGTTTTGAAATTATTCATGGCATTGCGGAAATATGCACAATAAACTTCGTTCTAAGAATACCTTTTGTATTTTGTAAAGTAGGGACGAAATTGTACCTAACTCTGGCGTTTAGA